GATGATCCTGACCCTCCTATACCTCTCTCCCTGAAGTTCTTCAATAAATGTTTCAAGCATCATAACCACGGACTGTGTCTCACTTCAATTGTTCAACAGAAGGGCGGTAAAGGCTGATGGGAAAAGTGAGCAACAATATCCCTAGACAATAAGAATCAGAGCTGTCATAACCCATAGCAACTGACCCTAGTCACTCAAGGTGTGCTGGTGTGCTGGGGATCCATAATAGAGGTTTCTTATAGAGGAAAGACAGGGAGACCCGTTAGTTCAGTTTATTGTAGATCACCCCTACAGAGCCACCGGTAGTGTTATCCTATATTGGGATAGCGCTGACCGGCAAGGGGGAGCACTACACTAGGATTACCGAATGAAAATAAGTACAAAGAAGCCTAAAAGAAATGCAGCCACCTCATCTAGGGACTTGTAAGCTGCGCAATTATATATGTATTTTGTTTTGTGGGTTAGATATGCTTTAATTGTCCAATTAGGAGGTTGTGGGTAGGTCAGTGACAAATTTGCAAAACTAAACTGCAGAGAGGAAATTATGTATTTGACCTGGTTATGCTGTCTGGCAGGAGTACCTGAAGACAAATATTTTGACAGATTAAAAAAACGTATACATATGTACTGCATCTTGTGTTCAGATTTAAAACATTAGGAAATTAGACTCAGAGCCCAAGATGTATTGGAATACCCAATCTTTAAAGTTCTCCTTATTTGTTTATTCTTTCAAACACCTTCCCTAGGCAGTGGGGCAAAAAGAATAATGCATCTTTGTATCCAACATATTCAGTACTATAAACTACTGTTAGTACTATTATGACAGTTCCTCTTTGACATGAAATGTAAATAAATCTCAGAAACACTAGGTTTATAAAACTTAAAGGGTTTCTAAACCCTCAGTTTTTTTTTTGCATATATCTGCTGCTAGCAAGCAGTAGATATATGCAAAAAGTTGTTTTTTTTAAAAACTTACTCCTGTCTTCACCGAGCTCCCGTACGAGAATCCGAAAACGCTCGGGCGGCTGCAAAGCATCCTGGGGCGGGCGCATGCGCAGTTTGGATTTTCGGCCGGGAGACGAGGAGAGACGCAAGGTAAGTCTATGGACGCGTGCACCCGCATGCACACACCGTGGGACAGGAAGTTCCAGCAAGGACAGAGGAGTCAGCGCTGGGTCGGACACCCGCCGCATCGCTGGAGAGAAGGCTGAAAAGGACAGGAAAGAAGAGGAAGATCGGATTAAGAGACATAATTTAAGGTAAGTGCTTTAATTAGCATTGGGGGAGGGGGGAAATGTATCCTTTAATGTCACTTTAATTTCAGAATTGATGGGGACATGCTCCATACAGCAGCTACACTAATGCAAATAATTTTCACTGTGCCATTTTTTCTTTTTGACATGGAGCTGTAGACAAATATATATAAAAAGATTACACTGAATTATTGTAACGTATTCTTCAGTTGAACTTCCAAGAAATGCCTATTCACTTTCGCTAGCTTTCTATTTAAAATATATAAAACTATAGAAAATCAACCATTTTTTGACTTGTTTAAGCTATATAGTTATTTTCTGATAGAAAAACAAATCACTGATTCCATTCTGGTGAGAAAAAGAGATAACATATAACATTGATTTATTTGTTTATTTTGCTTTCCACAAAAGTTGGGAATTAGTTTTATTAACATAATATTTTAGTAGCACGCCAACATTCTATTCCATAGATCTGTTTAGAGCCACAAGAGAAAAATATACAAATAATGTAAACCAGAAATAGCAGCTTTGTTGAATGCTCTGTCTGTCTGAAGCGAGTATGCAGTGAATACTGTATAGTTATGAACTACCAAAGCAAAGAAGAGGTGCCTCAAGGGAGTATTCAGCTTTTCCATATAATGCTGCAGAGGCAACGCTCATTTCAAAGACCTTACCAGATTCTGATATACAAATGTTCACTGTTTAATCTTAGGTTTTATTCCTATGAAGGTGTGCTTACTCCTAAGGAACTTCTGAGGTTCTTGGAGACCTTCTAAGGTTCTGATGAGTATGGACATCCATTTGTAAAACTTTGTTAAGGTCTTTGGTTATTGTTATTATGCTGTCTACGCCTTCTAAACTATACAACCTATGACTGAGCAGTGAGCACCTGGAACCATTTTTTGATTTGGAACTCTTGCATATCAGAAGGTCTGCCGGGGCATCAGTGTTGCCTCTGCTGCTTTGGTAGTCTTGTGTTCCTTATTCAATGCACACTCCCTTCAGTCTGTCAGGGCATTCAATAAAGCTATTTCTGTTTCTGGTGCAGAGTTTTATAGAGAAGCTGAATAATCCCTTGAGTTTTCTAAGAAATTCATTAAGGAATATTTAGGGGTTTATTTAAAGGGCTACTAAAAATCACAAGTAGGTTTATGCTAAAAAAAATGTTCAAAGGTTCACGGATAAATATGCAAGGACTAAGGCACACTTTTGTGATTTAGTGTATTTTGCTAGAAATAACATTCATTGTTAAGGATGTTTAAAACCTGGCCAATCAGCAAGCTTGGGGGCTTCCTGTTCATGCAGGGAGTGTTAATATTTATCTAAGGTACTTCCTGGCACATGATTCTTCCCTTCAGAGTCTTACTCTTAGAATATGCTTTTGTGACAATCTGTTTGTCATTACGCCTGTGGGCCGAAATGTGTTTGATGTTGCAGGAATCTGCCCTTCTGGATGGCCTTCTTAAATTTACTGGCTGCCATGGAGTCCTGATAGGTCCGGAGGAAGCAGAACTGTGGTTGTCACCCACGTGGAGGTGGTGGGTTATATAGTGAGGTAGAAAGCACAACAGGAACCTTTCTATTGCTATCCTGTCACACGTGAACATCAAGGAGCCACTTTTGAGTATAACTGTTCAGCCAGTAAAGTCCTGTGAAGGATGGAGGGACGCAGGCACCCAGAATGTTTCGAAGACCAGCAGAAGATCAAGAACTGTGCTTAGGTGAACTTGCAGGTATCCTGTGCTCCCTTCACCCTCCTTCACATCATCTTCATGCACATGTAGAAATAGATCTTCTTGATGGCACCCATCATACTAAGCATCTTGAGGACAAGAACTGCACCCTTAGAGGGATTTGCCTGGTGAGTGGGTTTGGGCATTTGTAATGTAGCTAATGAGTAGCCTGGTTACCTATGGTGCTACACAGGAATGGTGATGAACGATCATATTGAAGTTAACCCTGCAACTACCCCTGAGTAGGTTGAACATTGTTCAACCTACTCAGGGTTGTCGTTTTGAACCTTGAATGATCCCCAGTGATGAACCACCACTTATGTAATTAGTGTGAACTCAAATAAAGTTCGGCATATCTCCAAACCCACAAAGAAAGTATAAAGTGCTACTTGCAATAGTGTTTGTAATAAGTTTAGGCAGAATGTTGACACCCTCTATTTGGCACCTATACTCAATGAATAGTGCATTTTAGGAAGCCTGCTTGGTAGTGTGAGTCTGGTTGTGGTCTGGATTCCCTGTGGTGTTTTAGTGTGACAACATTGTCATTTTTTACTGTGTTTTTGGTCTTGTGGATGTCTATTTATCTATTTTGTAATAAAATTCTGATAGAAAAAAGTAAAAAAAATTATTAAACTTTTGCATAATGGCTGATATGTAACCATCTTTTTCCCACATTTGCAGATATTAATATTTCTGTGAGTTACATGCAGCTGCTGGTCACCATCCCACCTCTAGGTCTCACTCAATGTAAGTAGGTGAGTTTGCCAGAAGTTTTTTACTACAGTTTTTTTCAGATGAGGAAACCTGATCTCTCTATCTTGCTGGAGTTTTACTTTTATTTACAGGTCTCTTTTACATTTTGTGACTGGACATAAAAAGAAGCAGCACACTGATTAGTTCATCTCACATCTGCTCTCTCTGTCTACCAGCATGTTCCTTGCAAGGTAATACACCTGACTGGCTCCTTGTGTTGTTTCTCCTTCCTAATCTCTGGGCTTTGCTATACAGTAGAGGGACTGCAAGAGGAGAATGCCAAGGCATTTTAACATCAAGGAATCAAACCAGAGCCACAGTCATATACCCACATTTGTTTACTGCTCAGGGGCTATGTAGGCAGTAGGGACAAAAAAGAACTATGTACTTTTGTACACAACATAGTATTCAATCATAGATGAATCTCAAAAAACACAATCTATGAGTCTGATGCATTTAAAAGGTTCTGCTGCTATTATGCTTACCATTTTTTTATATTATTCTACTTGCTATAATTGCTGTGGCTGCTGCTATAATTACTACTATTATTACTATTATATTTATTACTACTAGTATTACTATGTATTAAAATATTAATGCCAGATTAGTAGCAATGGTATAGACACATTTTGAAAAAATGAATATGAATGATTGACAGTCTAAAATAGCAGTAAAATATTTAGTAAACAAATCAGCAAAATAGCAAAGATACTTGCATGAAGTTTCTATTATTGTCTGCAAAATTCTGTAAATTGTGCCATTAAATCTTTTATTAAGTACATCATAAAAAGGCAGGTGTGATCTCCATAAAACATTTTAATTGACATGTGCCTGAAATACCTATAAACCTTTAAATGTTAAGATCATAAAATTAAACTTAAAAAAAAAATATCAGCATACAATGACTGTTTTTAAATTTACAGAAAATAAAAAACTTAAGGAAAAAAATAATTTACATTTTTACTTATACTCAAATCCAGTGTTAAAATATCCCCACTTGGAATTTTAATTACTGTATCTTTGAATGAATATTTAATTAGTAGTCATCAGACTGGAGATGATTTATTGGTCATGATTGAATTCTACTATAATTTTATGCATGGTGCTTTAATGTCCAAATAATAAAAACATGCCCAGCAGTTTGATTTGTGTTCCTTCAATAACAGGTTTATGGCTGGTAAAATATTTTGAGAAAGAAAAATGTGTTTCTTTAAAATCACTGAAATATGTTTATGCGTTGATCTGTCTGCCATCACTGTACCTGTGCATTGAGAATACTAATAATCCATTCCATTTGTGCCTTCTGTGTATCACAACAGAGATGCCTAAAAAAAATTACATATTAGAATCCTGTTAATTACCATGTTGTGATCATCAAATCAGAAAAGCAGATTGACCATGTTGTTGTCAAATATTAGATACAGAGCTGTGTGAGCGGGGTAAGAGAGTTGTGTGTCTCTCCTCTGACTCATTTGGCTGTGTGTGTTCTGAAAAGCTGATCAAATTATAGCCTATCCAAAGCAAAGTGAAAACATGGCTCTGTAAATTTGGTGAATACATGAACACATAATATATGCAAGATTTCATATTTACCTGCCTAAAAAGAAACAAAAAAGCAGGTTTAAATCTTCGTTCTGAATATTATTTATAAAAACATTATGCATTCCCTTAAAACTATGCTATGTTTTCTATTTGTTTTTTCTTTTGGCTTTAAAATACGGTATATAGAAAATAAAATGAGAAGGAAATAAAGCCTTGCTTATCCCAAAGAAACAATATAGAAATTACAGTATATATAGAATAAAAAATAAGGACAAAACCACTGTCAAATCATCAGGCACATAGTGTAAATGACAAGTGGGTCTGGCCTACACAAGGTACATAAGTTTTTGTGATGAAGGGGTTATTAAACTTGCTATAATAATATGTAGATCCTCAAATCAGCTCTGAATTGGTGCTGACACTGCCCTTCCTTCTGGAGGGTGGCTACTGATGTTTCCCATGGTTTCTCTGTGTGTTGTAATTTAGCCAACACTTCAAACTCACTACCATGATGGACTAGAATTTCACTTTTAGATTATTAATTTGTATTGAGATTGTAGTCCAACCCAGGAGCAAGCTTGGAGCAGTGGCTACTTTACAACACACACAGGGACCATAGGGAAGAAAAGTAGCCCCCCTCCAGAAGGAAGGACAGTGTCAGCACCAATAAAGAGAGGGTTTGGTGGTCTACAGTTGGGAGATGCACAAATACATTACATTTTTGTTAATAGTTAAAGAAATTCACTCATCCTCATAGTTCGGACCGACGTGTGACAATGAAACTGCCACACGTCGGCTCAATAGATTAAGAAGTGAGCAAACGCATACCGTTGCTCTCTCACTTCTTGATCATCTCCTTGCAGAGAGCGGTAACATCAAGTAAACGCTCCCCGCACCCCGCAGGGATTCCCCCCTCAAAGCTCTGATCCTACAGCTTTAGATAGGCGGAGCCAGCTGTCATTCACGTAGCTGGGTGGATCTCGACAGCATTGTTGGGATCTGTCCCAGCTGTGGCGCTCTCAGTATACCGTGAGCTGTAGCTCGCGATACACTGAGCTTTGGGCCACAGGAGGAGATTAGTATATGTCCTCCCATGACCCTTAAGAGAACTATGGGGGAAAAACACTTAACCTATAGTTCTCTTTTAACTCCTGAGTTTAGTGTCATTTTAAGTAGTACATGTGACTAGGTTAATCAAGAGAAATACATGAGTCAAAGCAGATGGATATAGAACATTCCTTCTGTTTCTCTTTATTAATCTCTGTATGTTAGGATATCATATTATGACAACCTGAGACTTTTTTTTAATTGTTCAATTCTCTCTCCTTCATTTCTCTAGCTATATGTGAGAACAGAAGGTGGAAGTAAGCTAAAGCAGCTTTAATATCAACAACAGCAATTAAATAATACATATTTCCCATAATAACACTGTTCAAGATCAAGAAAAAACAGTGAGAAGGCTTTATTTAAGAGGAAGCTCTACAAGCACACATATAATGAAAAATGTAATCCAGTCCTGTTTGCTTTACCTACATAGTTGTGTTCAACAATAGTTGAGCTTCTGCATTAGCATTAGTAGCTACAGTAGCTGGAATCCTCTATCCATGCCCTAAGTCTCTTACGTATACAAATAGTACTGATTGGCATTGCTCCATGCACACCCTCAGAGTTGTACTTGCTTCAGGTGTGCTTGAGTTAAAACCTAGATTTGCAATAGGCATTTTCATAAGCACACTTAATAATATTGGAACTGCCTGAGGGGGGTCTATTCTGACTTTTGGTTGCCATGTTGCAAAGGTTTAAAAAGTAGGTTTAACAAAAATCAAACATAAAAGTGTATGTATATCTAAAACCTTTTAGATTTTGACCTTTACTACCTGTGCTAGAGATGCAGCAGGAAGTGAGATTTAATCTTTACAAAGTTAGAGTAATTAGTAATATTTAATCATAAAACTGACTAGAAAAATGACAAAAATAATTTGTTTAAAATGATTTAATGTGATTGTGTTCAAGGACCCCTTCACCCCACATCCAGATAATCTCCAGACCAGGCCAGATCGTTTCTGGACCCAAAATTAATCCTAATGTATCCCTATGCTATTTCTGGCCTCTCTTCACTCCAGCACAGTCCGTTCCAGACCAGACAAAAAGAATACTGCATGTCTCATTTTGTCTGGTCTGGAATGCACTGGAACACATGGAAACCCAACAAAAACACATACAAACGTACTGGAACACACCTGAAAGCCCAATTTAAGCTAAAAAAAGCCCCAGATCCATAACGCAGCAAAATCGCAGTAAAATTGTGGTAAAAACGCGGCAAACCACGTTCTATATCTGGTCCGGAAAATGGTGTGAACCTGGCCTAAGAGGTCTAATTAGGAATAATCCCACCCGTTTCTGCATAGAAAATTTTATAAAACTGTGCAGGGAAACAGTTTTTGGGCTTAGACGTACCATTGATGTTTTTCAAAACAAGCAGTCAATCCAAACCTAAAATAAAAAATAAGAAAAATAAAATCACATTTAGAAATGTATGATTCCCAGCAGTAATATGGGAAGCATCTGTTCCATTTAGTATTGACTTATAATTCTGGGCTTGACATAGACTTATCACACAATTGTCAGTGCTGTTCAGTAGTTTGATTGAAATAGACATGGATAACCTCCTTTGATCTTCAATGCAAAATGTGAAAGAGCACGCAACAACACCCTTCCTTTATCAGTACTACCATTTGCTCACATGCCTCAATATAAAGTAGTATTACATTCTCAAACTTTTTTCAGTAATGCCAAGCAAACAAATATTCATTGCGAGCAAAGCATTTTTTAAAATTCTTGTGCAAGCCCTTAGTCATCATGTTTCTGAACAACTGGCTCCAACTCTCTTAACTCCACTTCCCTGAAATTCCTGTGCAATAAAAAATCACAGGTGACATAGCAGTCTCCAGCAGCTGTCCATCTGCTAGCTTGGAGAAAGGAGGAAAGACGATTGAGGTGAAGGGAGTATGGATTGTGGTTTGCCTTGCTTTGCCTGTGTGTTTGTGGAGACACATACAGCTAACTAGCACACACAAAGGTGGCTCAATAAGACCGTGCAGGGGAAAGGAAAACAGGATATCAAGGCCAGTGCTCAGGAGGCCAGCTGAATATTCAGGGAAAAAAAACTTTTAAACATCAAGGAACTGAATCCATTGTAAGTGATTTGAAATTGCCTTAAAACCTTTTGACTTCAATATATACATTTTGTTTCAAAATATATGTTTTTTTGAACTTTCGTCAATTTTGCTAATGGTTAGAGCGGTCTAATTCATGTTTGTTTTCAACTGTGGTGACTAGAAAAAATTGAAGGAGAAGAATGTCAACTAACTGAATTAGTTGACTTAATCATGGTAAGATCAAATGCTCTGATTAACTTTTTTGAATGAGCATTCAAATGAAATTCTGACAGTGTATGGCCAGCTTGTCTTCCTGTAAGAGCATTCATTGGTGCAATAATATATTATATTAGAAAAGAAAACTAGATTCTCATGCATGGTAGCAGTTTCTACCTATGCTGTCTTTGTGTTAGGACTGCCTTGCATGCTCCTACTCCTGTGCTGCCTATCTCCATGTAGTTCCCCACTCTGCCACCTGTCTCCACCTCCCCACATGTCCCTCCTTGGGTGCAACCATTGCCAGGCCACTCTGCCATGAAACATCTTCTCAACCCTTATTTGCCAACAGTTATGCTCCCCTGGAGCTTCAGTCTAGTTGCTAGACAGTGGGTTGGCTCTGTTTGCCTAGCCTCCTCCTCTCCCACTGAACAGAGGTGCTGTGATGCCTTATTTGAACATTACAAGTCCACAACCCTGAGTTTGAGATAGTTCTGTCTGCTCTGGTCTAGTACCAAACACCGAACCATAGTTAGGCAGTCTTCATTTCAGCTTGTCCCTGGATTAATCACTTGTCGATCACCTAGCCCTGACCTAAGCCTGTCCCTAGATTACTCACTGGATTAGGCTTGCTGCCTGCTGCTGGCCCTGACCCCTGCTATAATCTGCCACCTGACCACCACCGGTCTCTGGAGTCCTTTACCAGCTACTCTCATGCTACACAGCAGCCCACACTTAATTGTTAAGATCAGAGACGCTTTCTATATCCTTGCTCAGAGAGGAGAATACTTGGAGGGAGACTATAGCATTGTATATAAAGCGTGCTTGCCTTTAGGGAATGAGGCTGTTATAGGTGAAGTGACACTTGCCATCTATTGTCTCTGACCTCTGGTACTGGAGTGAGCATTAGACTGTGTATCTTGTTTTATTTGATCCCTATTTTTTTTCAGTTGCTTACCTTGTTGGTGGTTTCATTTTCTTTTTGACTCCTAAGAAAAATTTGCATACTACCACAGGCAACACTTTTTCTGGTTTAATGCTCTGAATGAAAAAAAAATATATATATTGTTAAAAATATTGTTTAAGCAGTGTGATGTTTGAATTAATATATTGTGGTGTTCCTTTTTTTTATTTTTGGATGCATTCGTTTTTTTTTTTTTTAATAGAGGATTATTTAGTAACAGAGGAGGTGAGCATAAATCCAATAATTTGTTGATAACAGCCAACTGATTAAGAAGACATAGTTAAGGAATATACTATAGGTGAGAAATCTAATAACACCTATTGAATTGCCTTAGAATAAAATATAGTCAATGTTGATGCAGAAATACAGCTTTATTTAGGATTCAAATTAAGTTTTAAATGGTAGCATAGCTGGATTTATTAACATTGATAGCTGCTTTATAATACATCTGTTGATTCTAGAGATAAACACTGGATTTAATGTGTAGTAAAGAGATCATATAATACAAAAAGCACATAGTTTAAATTAGAGCTAAATATCCCAGGTACTGTAAAACTGGGATTATGTGAAGTGGAACTATAGGACAAAATAAAATGCCATATATGATGTAGTCGGTCAATAGCATTAACACAGTCCCCCTTGTAATGGTTTTATTACCTGTCGATTTGGGCAGTAAGTCTGTTATTTTCAACTTCCTTTAACAGACTAATCAAAGCAAAACTGGTGGATTGCCTCAGGCGAGGATCCCCTGCCCACACCTCTCCCCCTCAATTAAGTCAAACAAGCAAAAGTAGGGTATGGAGGGTTTCTAGAGAGGCAACAAATCCTTTAACAGACTAAGCTGTCCAGCTAAAGTGGCTTTTAGAGGGTTGACACATTTTACACACTGACAGTGGTGCTGAAAATTGTCAGTTTTCATTTATATAGGTAAATAATTACTGGCTGGATCATCAGGTGAAAATAAATAAATAAAACAAATGCAGCTACCACATCTAAGGATAGATTAACTGCAATATTTTTGTTTTGTTTTCACGTTTACTTACTCTGCTGTGGATAAGTTTACTTCTTCCACCTGAGTTGGTAAAGCCATTTTTTCCTCTTACATATACACCCCAAACCATTTTTTTTTAAAGCGGAAAGGTTTTTGAATTCAAGCAGATTTAAAGGGACTAGGGGGTCTATTCACTAAGCTGCCATAGGCAGCCAAGTGACTAACCGACCCCAAGCGAAGTGAGCCGAACGCTGTTTGGCCATTCACTTCAGGCTGCTACGGCTGATCCCAGCCGTATATCGGCTGAAATCAGCCATACATCGTGTGGCTTCGGGTTGGCCAAACATGCTCAGTAGGCCTAAAATGGCGCCTTCCTCCTCCACGCGTGTCCCATCACACAGCAATCGCCGGAGGGGCTCCCCTTCCCTGGATGCCTCCCAGCATGGATCCAACTCACCTCGGCCGGCCGATGCAGATCCCCATGACGACGGCGAAGAGCTCACGGATGACTTGCCATCTGATGTACCAGAGGGGATTCGGGCCTTGCTGAGGTACCTCCCCACTAAACGGGACTTTGAGTCTATGGTGTTCCGGGTCGTAGCGGAGGTAACGACCACCTGCTCCACGATGGACTCGAGGATCTCCGCACTCGAGTCGGCAGCCCAGCGGCCGGACCCCCGGCTCTCGGACCTGCAACTCCACCTGGAGGACATGGAAGACAGGGGGAGGCGCAACAACCTGCGTATCCGTGGCATCCCGGAGGCCACTGGCGCCCCCAACCTGCGGGCCACAGTGCAAGCCATATTTGCATCCCTACTGCATACCGTTGAACCCGCCACAATCATCCTGGACCGGGTCCACAGAGCCATGGGCCCCTGACTTCCTAACTCATCAACCCGTGGTATGCCGTGTCCATTACTATACTATCAAAGAGGAGATACTCTGGGCTGCATGGCAACGTAGGCCCGTTGAGTTCGATGGAGTACAGCTACAGATCTTCCCGGATCTATCCCACAACACCCTCAAGCGCCGAGCACTCCTCCGCCCAGTGTTGAATCGGATCCGCAGTGCAGGGGCGACCTACCGATGGCGTTACCCGTTCCATCTAATAGTGAGAAAGGGGGAATCCTCTTACGTGCTCCGCTTCCAGAAGGATGTCTCTGGCCTAGGCGGCTTCTTCAACGTGAATATATCCCACCTCCTGATGACTGGTTGGGGCCCCGACGAACACCTGCAGCCCAGCGACGCTCCCGATCCAAATCAAGATCTGCCCGCCAGCAACGACAGCGCACAGGAGGCCACGTGAATCTGAGGATGCCGGTGGAGGCCTAAATGGATATGAGGACCTAGATGCCTCTAACGCTCTTTGGGGCTTAGTTTCTCCTTTTCCTTTTTTCCTTGTATCTTTCTATCATCAGGTTTCTTCTGGCACCCGGACTCCACAGACCCTTCAAACCCCCCCTGGGCACCACAGGACTTTGCCCGGTCGAGTTCCCCACAGATCGGATGCCATACGGAACCTGCCGTTGCAGTGGACTATCCTCTTCCTCCCTGGATTTGATGTGGATGATTGATCCAAACCGCCCGATGTGAGGTGATGGGGACTGATTGCTAATGAAGGGAGGGGGTTCAGCCATTACCGCCTGCCGGCTACACATGGGTTGAGCACATACCTCATTATATGTTACTCTGGGGAACTAGGGTCAACTGTTGCTCCCCCAGGGAGGATAATGCCGGGGAGGAAACAGCCCAATAGTGGGGTTGTACTACGATACTCTCGAGAAAATTAGATGGGTGTTGGTGGCCAGTGCACCACTCATAGATGCATGGGATCTCCAGCGGGGGAAAACTTTAAAGGTTGCTTTGCATTACCTAAAGTGCCAGTTTAGGATGTTATATAAGTTATTTCTGTTCCATGCGTTCCCCGTGGCGAAGGTCCCGCAGGGGGGCTGGCGGTGTAGTTCCGGGAAGATGCCGCATGATCTGGGGTGGGGCTGCCGGGAGGGGGTCTCCCCTGACGTAATTGTTGGATGGGGGTCCCCCTGCCCTTAGCGGTCTCTCCCTTGGTGTTTTATGCCTTCTGCCCGAGGGAAAGGTTATGGGTTACATTTTGTGTGGTGTAAAGTTTATGCTGATATCCCAATTTACAATGCACCTTCAGAATTTACCTCCATCCAGGTTGGGGGGTGAGACACAACGTGACTTTATTTATCAGATGGCTCCTAGGATGCCCGGTCCAGCAGGGCTCCTGCCCTGTGTCAAGGGTTCAACCCGACCCGATGCGCCCCTGGGTCGGGCCGACAACCGGGGTGTTCTTGGGAGCGACAACTGTATGCCGTGTGTCCCCACCATTGATATCTGCTAGAAATATGAAGTATGTGCACCTACATGCCATGTGCAGGTTATGTACAGGTTCCAATGAGTGCTACTCTACACATATCCTCTTCAAGCTTGCCGCTTGTGGAGTTACTCACAAGCTGTGCTTAGATTCGACTCCCCCAATAGTTATGACTCCCACGGTCCGTCTGGTGCGGCTGTAGGAGGTTTTTCTACAAACTTCGGTTCCTCTTAGTTGTTTGTCTTGTATTCTGCTCCCCCCCTCCCTATCCCCATCCAAAATCCTAAGTGTACTTCCCCCTCTCCTAGCCCTCCTCTTCAGCTGGCCTGACTCTTGCTCCTTATCCTCCTCTTCCTGCCTGCCTCCGTCCCTTCCTTCCCACTCTCTACTCCCTTCCTCTTGTGCAGCCCCGCCCTTCTCCCCCCGTCCCTCTCCCGTTCCCCTCCCCGAATCTCATTTGACTCCTACGCCAGGATCCCAACATGCCCCCATATAGCTATTTGTCCTTTAACGTGTGACCCGAATCCGGTCATACTTAGAATCCTTAGGCATGCCCTCCATCCCCGATAATGTTGTTCACTCCTCAGAACTCCCGATTATAGAACTGGAATTGGAAGCGGTTATGAAGCAGACAAACATGGTGAAGGCCCCTGGCCCGGATGGCTTTACCCTGCTGTATTACAAGCGATTTGCCCCCATCCTCAATTCTCACTTTGTTCGGGCCCTTAACTCCTTCATGAGAGCTACCCTAGAACATATGGAGTTGGGCCCCCACATGTTGTTGTGGATTATGTCGCTATATTCTCGACCATCAGCTAAAGTACAAATTAATGGGGGTTTGTCAGAGAAGTTTTATATATCGAACGGCATGAGACAAGGGTGTCCTCTATCTCCTCTGATCTTCATCATTACCCTGGAGCCCTTACTGAGGAGAATAAGGTCCAACCAGGATATTCACAGAATCGATGCAGGGGCCCATTCCCACAAGGTGGCTGCTACGCGGATGATTTGCTCTTTTTTCTCACTGCCCCGGATATATCTCTACCAAATATTTTAGCGGAACTCGCAGAATATGGGAAAGTATCCAATTATCATATTAATGCCCAAAAATCTGAAGCCCTGAATCTCACCCTCCCTTCCTCCCACGTGCTCCGCCTTCAGGGTAATTTCCCGTTCGCTTGGTCAACGACCTCAATCAAATACCTGGGTGTCCAGCTCCCGAGAGAATTGAATACAGCCTACTCTTTGATTTTTTTACCCCTGCTACAAAGAATAAGGATGGACCTCAGGGACTAGTCCCGTCTGGCGTTCTCCTGGATAGGCAGGTGCAACGTAATTAAACAGAATGTCTTACCGAGGTTACTATACCCTATTCAAGCACTGCCCATCTTGGTGCCCAGGGGATTCTGGGCGACGGTTCAGTCGCTGATCACAAAATACATTTGGGGGTCTAAACCAACTAGAATACTACATTCAATTCTCTGCTTACCTAAGAAATACTAAGAAATACGGAGGTTTGGCTGTCCCTGACATCTCGCACGAATCCTCAACACGCATTCCTTGACGGGTTACAGAAAATCGGTCATTATCCACCTGATTAACGCTGCTCGGGCCTGCATCCCGGCCATGTGGAAGAAAGCTTTCCCACCCATGTTGCAACCTCTGGCTCAGTAAGGTTCAAGACATTAGACACATAAAGGGAACTGGAACCCGGTCCAATACTACCTGGTTCTGGTGGGATGAGTTTA